AATGTGATATTATTATTAAATTACTTGAAACATATCTTCAATTCAAAAGCATTTTATTGTTTTTATAATCATATAAATAATACTTGAGACCTCTTTCCAAATGTACGTAGTACCTTTCAATTTTCTGAAACTCTAATTTGCATTTTCTACCAACAAGAAGAGGTGGCCTCCTAAGACTACTGAACATTGCGCAATTTAACCCAGTTTTAAACCTTGGTGAAGTATTGACTGAATGAGCATTTTCAGGGGTTTTCCGTACTATTCAGTGAACCTTAAAAGGTCCTCCCTGGAAGCATCTCTCCCCTTTGACAGGTCCCACCAGTGGCGAAGTGGGTAAGAATACCGGTATTTCGACTTGGTTTCGTTCTCAGGCGAACGGGCTGACTGCATGTATAGTTTTTGATGTTTCCCCATGTGTAACGTGAATACCAGCCAATTTCTATCGGAAAGTCCTTCACGAAAGCATCTCTTCCTCGAGACAGATAGCTTTCGTGTGTTTTGCGATATTACAATAACCTAAGCCAATCTAACTCATATAAAAATACTTAATGTCTTGTTCATACTGCCATCTGCAGTATAACACTTTTCCGAGTTTTAAGTTCTTCAAAATGTTAATATCTGCATGCGATATAAAAAGCGTACGATGTGTTTTTCATACTGATACCTTCAACGTATCATCTTTCCGAATAAACTCTATCAACAGCATAGCATGGTCGGATATTATCATAATATCTAGAATTCCATAATTTTCTATGTAACTTCCGTGTTCTTCGCTGACAAATAATTTTACTAATTTTACTTATCTAAGTAACATGACATTTTCGAAATATAATTAAAATCTTTCGATTTACCCATAACTCGATAATGGTATTCATTATAAAATATTTATAATATAAGATATATTTATTTCGTGAATAACAGCAATAGAAAATCATAATAAAGCTTCGGAAAAATTTTGGATTACTGAAGCCATTTTCCTTATACAATCCTCCACTAAGGCTTCTCTTTCCTTAGGTAAAAAGTCCTCTTGTGCTTTGCCATAAACAAGAAACAAAAAATTTAATATACCTAAAATAGGGGATCAAAAACCTTTGTGTCATGTTAGTCAAGGGGACTTCTGAGGATTTTGTTCGGTAATGTTTTTTTTTTCTTTCAAATTTCCCGCTTCAAAATGTTCTGTTTTTACAACCAAATAGACAAATAGACTTTACACAAATAGACTGAGAATGTATGCTTTTAATAGCAGAGTTTTATCCGAGAAAAGAAGTATAAATATCGGTATACAATGTAATCAATTTAAACATTGCTGTTTTCTAAATTTCTGAGAAAAATTTATTTAAAAAATAATTACTCCTAATTTCTAATTGCAAAATCATTGCTTAATTTCTTTCTTTGAGTATTATTCTTTTCAAAGAAAGTTTTCCGTAGCTTTCGTCTTACTAGAAGTGATTAAAAAAGAAGGGGAGAGAAAAAAAGTTAGATTTGAAACCCTATTATACGTGCTCTTTTTGCAGCTTTCCTTAATTAGAAGACAAGAAAGTCGTCTTCAAGAAAACTACAAAGACGAAAAATTTCTTTTTTAATACCCAAAACTTAAATCCAAAGTTCTAAACCAAGGCGAATTGCTGGAAACACACCTTTTCATAACAAAACATTAATCCCACAGTGCGACCAAGTTCCACCAATTCTTCTAATTACTAAAACCGGGGATACATAGACACAAAAGGGCGCCCGAAAAGGGATGGGGGAGAAGAGCAGGGATAGGGGGAGACAATGCGAGAGATAAATTGATTTTCTATAATTATGACGAGTTAATTAACGAAGAATTCGTTAATTTCTTGCATCGGTCATTAATTCAGCAGAGTCTTGGCATTGTCTGTCCAAAACCACTCCAAGAAAGTGGCGAAATTTTGGGTTTTGGAAGAAGAAAACTTTTGTATCGGTACCAATTAAGTAATTGCTCTAGAATGTTCGTTCGTTAGCGTTTCCGTGAAAGAGCGCTCGGGAATTATTTATTAGTGTTCGGATTGGAACTGGTAGTACTGCAGCGCGTTAGGGATTTGTTAAAAATGATAATAAACGAAAACCCGTCTGTTCGTTTCGTAATTTATGATTGCATTGTTCCCACACAATTTTGGAGAAGTCGTTTTGTTTGCGACGGCATTTTGACAAGTTGTTATTTGCCGAGAACTCAATGTTCAAGAGTTCTTGTTCACCTCTTTGTTGAATTTCTTGATAAACTTAGTTACGCGTGAGATTTGTAAGTAAGTTAAAGCAAAGAGTGTAGAAAATTCGAACGAAAGAATTGCCGTTGTTTCAAATTTATTCATCCTTTTATCACCATACATAGATATATAAAACCTTGAAGAAAGAATTAAATTTTTGGTCCCTTTCACGGGTTCTAGAACCTGAAGAATAATTAATTTCCTATAAATTCAAGAATTAAAGAATTCTATCATTTCAAATACGTTTTTTAGAATTTCTAAAAAATAACGTAGTAGGTAAAATTATTCGGTTTCGAGGGCCGTAAAAAATCGCCAAACTATTGTTGATGCCAATGCTGCCAAAAATAATTTTGGCAACCCTAATAATTGCGGCAAGAAAGGAAGCATATAGTAAATAACAATTTTAAGATTGATGTTTTAATTTAGATGAAAGTTTAATTTCATATAATACTTTTTTATTATAATTTATATCAAAAAGGCTAAACATGACTGAATAAGAGTAAATAACTATTTCAGATCATTATTATAATTTACATAAAAATTGCTAAACATAACTGATTGGATGCCTGCATCGCTATTTCGCTACCAACTTATCGCTGAACAATAATTTCATCTTCTTGGTGGTTCAAACGTAATTTTCTATAATGAATGATGCCTTTTCTTTGAAAATATTCTCGGTAAAGTGCAGAATCGCTCACTTATTTGTTTCCCGCTTTTTTTACAAGGGTAAAAACAATTGGATTTTGTCAATTTTCTTCTACTTTTTAAGTGAAAATAGGTCGATGTGTAAAGTCAAGGGTGTGCGCAGTGCCATTTTTGTGCAATTCTAGGATTTTTTTTAAGTGAAAATAGGTCGATGTGCACATGGATACCGAGTATGTGGAATTCTTAAAAACGCGTCAAGCAGTGGGTGATTCTGCACTTACCCAAAATTCTATTGCCGAGTTTTCGTCATGGGCAATTCCCAAATTGTTAAATCCATAGGATATCAAAAAAGGATTTAAAATCAAAAAGGATTTAAAAATTAAACTAGTATTTCAATGGCGTCTTAAGAAATATAGAACTATATAAAGTTACGCAATCTGAAATCAGCGCGTACGCTAGATTTGGCGCGCTGTTAAATGGGCGCTTTTGCTAGATTTGGCGCTTTTGCGCGTACACTTTCGCTGTAATTTTTTTACGGCCCTCGAAACCGAATAGTACCAATAATTCTTTATGTCAGCGTTTCTCAATTTTTTTCAAGAGTTTACAACTTTTATAAATGACAATGTTCTGCAGACCATTTTGTTTTTGTCCTCTTCGAAAGAAAGTTCTTTAGCCTATGTTATTAACAGACTATTTTTATTTTTAAAATAGAGTTCATTAAACTTAATTTATTTGTTTATTAACATGAGTAATTAAGTTAATATTAGAGTTCGGTAATCTTTACAATATTAACTAAAAATTAAATAAATATTGGTATGGGTAGGATTAAATGTCGTATTCTTGCGTTGCTAAATGTATGCTGGTAAGAAGCACCATTTTCAAAGTGTTTTAAATCTATTTGAATGAATTTTGACAACAATGAGAACTCTTGTGTGTGTGTGTAGGGGGTGGTTGTGACTTGTCTCACAGAAAAACCAGAAGAAGTCACGAAATTCATCGTGGCAAATAGAGCAAGATTGCGAAAATAAATAAGAGAAGAACCCGATTGACCGATGAGCATGTACAATCAGTGAGGAAGATAATTTCTGGTAATTTTTTCTTACGGCTACAAACTTTAACAGAATCTGAATGCCATCAAGAATCTGAATGAATCTGTTGCAAAATATAAAGAAGTTAATAATTATTTATATACACAGGTATGTATTTTTATTTATACGTCGAAGAAAATTTAAAAAATAAAAATGTGGACTAGGTCAGGGGTCGGCAACCTGCGGCTCGCGAGCCAGATGCGGCTTTTTGGATGTGAAGCTGCGGCTCTTTAGTTTCATACGCAAATATTATTTATTTTATATATATATAAACAAGTTCAGGGAATACCTATGGGCGGGAATTTTTCAACTTCAGTTTGTGAATTATTCCTGTTCACTAAAGAACTAACCTATGTACGTTCACTCAGAACGGAAGAAAGTCTCTTTTTCCAACACATCTATAGATATATTGATGATGTCATAGCATTTAATAACTACAACAAAATAGAAAACGCTAATATCTACCCTGCTTGCTTAAAACTTAATAAAACCAATACAGAACAGCATGATATAGTCTACCTTGATTTACATATTATTGATTACCGTTTTATTAAAGTTTACGATAAAAGAAGAGAATTTAATTTTCCCACACTTAAACTCACTAACTGGAATTCAAATATTTCCAAAAGAGTAATAATCAACACAATTTATTCACAGCTACTTAGAATGAAAAGAATTTGCAATACTGCGGATCACTTACAAGAAGAAAATACTATACTTCGTAACTATTTTAAAAAGTAACCAAATACCACATAAATAATTAAAAATTCCTTGACCAAAGCTGGCATTAACCTTACCTTATAGATTTTTTTTGAGTTAGATAATGATTTTTTATACCTAAAGCTACGGACGGTTTAAGAAGGATGACTAATTCAGAGAATCTATTGTAAAAATGTACATAAAATTCTTGTTTATTCATTTCTCTTTCCTCCAAAAAATTTTGGCACTTTAATCTTAAATACTATTATATATATATATATATATATATACTGAAGAAGAGCATCGAGAATTTAATCGGTATTGGACGCAGTCGTTCGCTTTCATGTGCAACTCAGATGGCCTTCCGACTTGTCTCATTTACCTCGAAAAACTCGCACACAATAAGAAATCAGATTTAGAGAGACACTTCACTAAAAAACATACTCAGTTTGCTAGTAAATATCCAGCCGGCGAAGAACGAAAAAAAGCTGTCGACGAGCTCCAAAAACAAAAACAGCAATCAAGTTCCATGTTAAATACCTGGACGCAATCTACAAGTAATATTAATCTGGTAAGCTTTCGCGGTATCATTAGAAATTGCAAAAAAGGCAAACCATTCACAGATGGTGAGTATGTCAAAGATTGCTTCATACGTGCATCTGAAGAACTGTTTTGTGATGTCAAAAACAAACCAGAAATCTTGAAAAAAATGAAAGATTTGCCACTATCTGCTAAAACAGTACCAGACAAAATAGCTAAAATGTCTTCCAATGTAACATATTTGCAGATGGAAGATATTCAGCTTTCTTCTGCCTTATCACTTGCTGTAGATGAGTCTTTCGACATAAAAAACACGGCACAAGTTGTCCTTTTTATCAGGTATATGTCTTCCCTAGATCCAAAAGAAGAACTTACAGGATTACTACCGCTCTCGGGAAAAATAGAGGGGAAGATATAGCGAATGCCGTGAAAAAATGCCTTGAAGACAATAAAATCGATTTAAATAAAATCGTTTCAATAGCAACTGATTAAGCCAGACGTATTACAGGAAAAATAAAGGGGCAACAATGATTCTACCGAGCAAAATAAACCACGAAATTCTTACGTTTCACTGCATAATACACCAAGAAACGCTTTGTGCCCAAAAATTTCGGCCGAAATAGTTGAGGTCATGAATTTGGTAATCAAGATTGTTAACAGCATTTTGTCAAAAGCACTCTACCATCGTCAGTTTAAAAAATTCTTAAACAAAACGGGGACTCAGTATTTTGACCTCCTTCTTCACAATAATGTGCGATGGTTTTCCAAATGAAAGGTGTTGAAATGTTCTGCTTTGTGCTTGAATGAAATAAATACATTCCTAATGAAAAAGGGTTGCAAAACCTTATTTATGGTGGACCGCGCGGAAATTTAAATGAGCTGAATCTAAAACTGCAAGGAAAGAAAAACCCAGCCTATGTTTTAGAAGAGGAATTGGTTTGTTTTGAAGAAAAATTAATTCTTTTTGCAGAAGATATTCAGAGCGGTAAATTACTTCATTTTTCAATTTCTAAAGCAATATCGCGATAAAACCAGTGTAACTGTGTTGACAAGAATTACTTCAGCACAGTTACAAAAAAATTAAAGATGAATTTGCTGACACATTTGAGCAATTCAAAACCAACAAAACCACTACGTCATGCAACAAATGTGGACAGCTTTAAAAGAAATGCCGCGAGTTGAGGTACTTATATTCGACGCATGGAATAGTCTTCCAGATTGCTACAGTGAGGTGAAGAAGTTGGCTATCTTCGGATCGACATATTCGTGCGAGCGTCTCTTGCATGAATATAATTAAAAGTACAGTAAGAAGCCAAATAACAAGGAAACCTTTCTTACTTCCATGCTTTTGGATTCCAACCAGTAGTCAGTCTCCGCTGAACAATATATCACTTAGGCAATCTCAGATTACAGGTCACTTCGAGAGGCGGTAAGCTTAAAGAAGGGATCATCATGAAATATTTCATTCTATTTTCTCGATTTAGACGGCTTTTAAAGTTAAAGTGTGAGTTGTTTAGAGGATAGAGGTTTTTATATGAGTATTATGAACGTAAATGTATGCATGTCTATGTGTTTGTAACTTAATTACTTAAAGTATTGATAAAAAAAAAAAAAAAAAAAAATGCCTCGCATGCTTTTACTGGGTAGGGTTATTAGAAAAAAAAAATCAAATTTCCTTTTAACATTTCGAATACAGGCAATTAATTATCTTGCCCTGAAGCAGTTGCCACCTCATCATTTATAATATAATTAATCATTTCCCCCCTCCCATATTGTTGACGAACATTTATTATTCATTCTCGAATGCCACTTTTAATGCATATAACACCTCCTCCCAAATGATACCCCTCCAAACAAATGTGACAAAATTCTGCTGGCTAAGCAAAACTGTGCTAATTACCCTCTTGATGGAATATATATATTTTTTTCTGAAGCAGGTCCCCCAGGCGACGGACGCTAATGACTCAAAGAGGTCATTAAAACCTTAAACATACTTTAAACACCCTTGGAGTTTTTAAGAAGCAAAAAATATCCTTCGGCATCTTTCAGCCTCACTGCCCCGTCCGAAGAAACCCGAAAAGATACCATCAAACACCCATTAAGAAATCGTTAGCCTCTTATCTGTGCAACCGCCCTTAACCCTCGAACAGATCGGGAGATTAGGCTGTGGAGGACAGGCTGGTACCTGTCCACGATAGGTGGTGTTGAAAGGTGGAAATATGGTTGATGGATTGTGCGATGTCGACTTCGATTAACGCAGCGTTTGCTGTAGGAGGTTTCTTGAACGATACTCTCCTAACGTTCCTTGCATTTAATATGAAACATCTTGAAGCTGTAGATTGTAAAGTATGCATCACTATTTGGAGCAACGAAAGGGATTTAAACTTTGCATTATGTGGTTTTCTGAAGTAAATTTGGACAAATTTTTGTAGATCTCGGATGTTTGTAGTGATAAAGATTACTAGTAATTTCGACCTAATTTCCACAGGGTAAAAAGGGCACGTGTCCCTGGGCTAAGTTTTCAAAGGTCCTCTTAACTCGGCGGAAGGCGCACCAAGAAAAGTTACTAGAACGGGCGCGTGGGGTATCACATACCCCAATATTTAAAATACAATAAAAATAGTATTATTTAGTTTTAAAACTGTTTTTTTTTTTTTTTGGTCTCGTGTATTAGAAATAAGTGAATAATAACTGGGTTTCAAAAAATTAATTTCCGAAATAATCTTAGAGTTAAAATTAAGATAAATGAAAATAATAAACATCATGCCTCTAAGTTTCATTGCATCTCTAATACACCATGATTTTTTTTATTTTTCACACTTTGAACGAAATACATTCATGTGTTCTTGGCACAGAACGTCTTCACATTTTAAACATTGCATTCACGTTCTTCTGTCCTTGGCGCGAGGGCAAAAAAAATTAACACATCTTTCATACTTAGTTGTTTCTAATTTCATGTATTCGTTTTAATTCTTCGTCGAAACTTCTGCTTTTGTTTTACATGCAGTACGTCAATTTCTTGGAAAAGTATTAATCTCTGATCTTTGTTCAATACCTTTTTCATTAATTGTAATGCTAAGTCCTTCAAAAACAGACTTCTGTTTCTTGTTGGTGGATTAGCAGTTGAAAGTAATATAATTCAAACATTTAGTGCAGGAAAGAAAATTACCATTGGTCACCTTCTCGTTATTCTGGCAATTGAATAATTGGCTGATATTTCATCCCCCATATCCACTGCTCCTTTAGTCATATTATTGAAACATATGATTCCTAACGTTTTATTTTCTCCAATAGTATCATCTATAGTATGATCGTTATATAATGGTATAATGATCGTTATATAAAGCATAGGAACAGTTTTTCCTTTTTCAGGAACATCAGGAATTAATGTTTTATCTTTTTCGAAACCAAAACATTGTAGAAAATATTCTTAGTTTCATCTTCAGTTTCCGAAATGCAATCTTCATCGCTTTCAAATATTTCTAATAAATCTCGCATGCGTAGCATCTCCAGTTCATAGGGACTCATTCTTTTTATCATAATGCAGTTAGAAATTTTTCAGAATTTAATGTCAAGTACTTTAAAATCACTTACGAGTAGAAATATTTACTGTTACACTCTAGAAATAAATTTCTGAACTAAATATTCAGTCAGAAAAACACTTACACGGACAGGCGCGTGGGGTGTGTCATACCCCAGTTCCAACAAAATACCGATAAATCTTTTTCTGAAACACACAGGCAAAGAAAAAGCGGTTCTGAAAGTCAAACACAACTAGAAACTCAGCTACTGAAAGAATTTCAGTTTCACAAGTTAGGAATATTCCACTTTTATGTAGGGTTGGGGTATGATACACCCCACGCGCCTTCCCGCGGGTTAATACTCCTATAGCATATGAAACGTATAAAATGTTATCTATTTTATATTTTTCAATTCTGGGTGTAAAATTATACATTTAGACGTAGAACCTATTAAAAATGATTTCATGCACATTTGAAAGAAATTAAATGTTTTTAAATGTCCACATTCTACCTGTATATTTGGCTACTGAATTGATAAATGATTCAACTGCTTTCATTGTCGTCCAACAGAGACAGTGGTTAGTGACTGCCGTACTGAAGGACCCGGGTTCGAATCCCAGAGACGGCATGGATGTTTGTATGTGTATAGTGTATGTGCTGTTTGAGGGGGCTATAAGTATGATACGAGCCAAAAGTCCCCTCGAGAGATTGATGGTAGAGTAAAAGGTATGGAAGACCCTCGGACAGGTCCTGAAATTGAGGTTATAATATATTTCTCCCGCCTTCTTAGCATGCCTTCGTGGTGTAATTGTCAGCACGCTCGGTGCATGTTTGAGAGGTCTGAGGTTCGAGTCCTGGCGAGGGCATTGCGTATTTTTCCCATCTTTTTCTTCAAAAAAATAATCTAATCTCTCTACAGTGGCGCCCGAACTAAAAACGTGGTGAGGTATTATTCTCTACCACCAGGATTTCTCGCTTGGGTCCCTTAATCACCAGTCGCCTTTTAAAAGGGGGAGTACATAAGGCATTTCTTCCGCCTTCTTAGCATGCCTTCGTGGTGTAATTTTCAGAACGCTGAGCGAGTATTCCAGAGATCCCGAATTCGAGACCTGGCGAGGGCATTGTACATTTTTCCCCTCTCTTTCTTGACCCAATACCTCTACAAGCTAAAAGGGCGAGGGCGGTAAGCTGTGGGTGGAACTGAGCTAAGCCCTTTCAGACCGGGGGGAGATTAAGTAATTTTTATATTGTGACCAAGGGCAAAACCACGTTCGACAAAGTTACCTTTCCATGGGAAAATTGCATTAGGTTATAAGGTATTTCTCCCGCCTTCTTAGCGTGCCTTCGTGGTGTAGTGGTCAGCATGCGAGGGCATTGCTCATTTTTCACATTTTTCCTGCTACCAAATAACCTAATATCTCTACAGTGATGCCCGAACTAAAAGGGGGTGAAAGATGATTCTTCACCACCAGGATTTGGCGATTGGGTCTCCTAAAACCTCAGTCGCCCTTTAGAAGGGGGTATACAATGTATTTCTCCCGCCTTCTTAGCATGCCTTCTTGGTGTAGTGGTCAGCACGCTCGACGCGTTTCGAGTGGTCCGTGGTTCGAGTCCCGGCGAGGGCATTGCTTATTTTCAGATCTTTCCTGTTTCCAAAGAACCTAATGTATCTACAAGGTTATAATTCAGATTCAAATTTCTGCGAACCTGAATATTGTAACTAAACGAAGGAAAAATTTTATTGATTTTAATAAGGGTTTATTTGGGGGGGGCTTCGGAACTGAAATAGTGACTAGTGAAACTGACAGCCGTGCCGAAGAACTCGAGTTCGAATCCCGGACAAGGCATGGTTGTTTGTAAATGTGTAGTGTCTGTGCGACATGGGGGGAACTCTAAATATGCGGCGAGCTGAAAGTTCTCTCGAGAAGTTGCTGGTAGAGAAGAGGGGAGTGAGACCCTCGCACCCGTTCCGCCGGGGTGCTCTCTCTTAAACTGGGGGAGAAATGAGCTAAAGTAGGGCTGTCTTCTATATGGTGCTCAAAGCTGTTGTGAACGACAAGCGCATTTGACTATGTTACGATGTGTTGTGGGATTGTGCTGACCGTTGTCAGACAGATTATAAGGTATTTCTCCCGCCTTGTTAGCAGGCCTTCGTGGTGCAGTGGTTAGCACACTCGACGTGTATTCAAGAAGTCCGGGGTTCGAGGCCCGGCGAGGGCGTTGCTCATTTTTCACATCTACGGCATCAAAATAACCTGATTATTCTATATACATATATACATATATATACATATATCTATATCATATGCTTAAATTTTTAATCAGGATTCCACAGGATCAAGTTTATACCGAGAAACATCAGGCTAATTCAAGACAAAGTGCTGAAAAAAAAAATTAATTTTGCAAGCCGGCCCCTAAAAGCACTGTATTTAATTTTAAGCTAAGGTAAGAGACATTTATTAGATTTGCAAAATATGTTTTAAAAAACAAAGAGAAAAATAAAAAAAAAAAAAAAAAAAAAAAAAAAATGACTTCCAGAAAGGTAAGCTAATTATGTTTTTCAACCGAAAAGTTTTAACATTTTAATCTTAAATTAAAAACCTAAAACTGCTCTTTCAGGGTACTCCATACTTCATTAGCATTGAGTATAATAGAGCTTGTGATAAGACTTAAATCTTGTTAGGATACAGTAAAAAATTAAGGAAGTAATCATTAAAAAGAGATTTTGAAATTTCCACTTTGTGTACACCACTGAATCGCATTAGACGCAGCATTTTCCTAGTATGAAAAAAATTATTCCAAGAATGGTTTTTAAGTTGCCCAAAATAAATAGGAAAATATTATTTCTGAAAAAGAGCAATACCATTGTTTTCCAATTATTAAATAAACAGTTTACCTAGTCGCCATAAAATACCACGAATCATGGTATTAGTAACGTTTGGCTGAGAGCTGAAAGATGTGCTAAGAGTATGCCCAAATTCGAGAAAATTTTTGTAGATAAAGCTGGATTAATTTACTTAATGTACCTTATATTTCGAAATACCTTTTTCATTTACCTCTATAAAAATTAAGTACTGTTTATCACCTTGTATATTGCATGTGCAAGAATAATTAATCTTACTTTATACATATTTCTTTATTTTATCTATATATTATTCTTTTCAGACCTTTTTGTTTTGCTTTGTTTTATTATATTTTCTCTCTATTCTTAATTTTTGGCCAAAAGCGCGTTACCCTAGAATAGACATTAATTTCGTTTTCGCATTTTGTGGCGTTTCACTATAAACGACGTATCACTTTTTAAATTGTTGCCAACAAATATTACCTCCCTGTATTATACACTCATGTCCATAAATTAAGGATAATTCGGAGTCTCACGGAGATCGAACCCTAAAATAAATATATCACCTGTAAAATCACTACATACATCTTCAAGAATCATATGCAAATTTCAGGAAGTAACCAGATGACACCGATGGTACGTCACAATGACGAGAGTTGTAAGAGAGTGATATATAGGAAATACAGGCAAGGAAGTAAAATTGTTCGCAGGCGCGTTTTTAAGCATTTCAGTGCAATAACCGAATAGTTATGACACAAAGGACGCATTTGGATGATTTTTTACGTGGAGAATTATCGGCCGTCTGGAATGTGGGCGTACCCAACTGGAAGTATCAGACGAACTTGGAATTGCCCAGAGTGTCATCTCCAGGCTTTGGCATTCCAAGATCATGGTAATGGGAGTAGACGTTACAGCACAGGTCGCCCCAGAGTTACAACGCCCAATGAGGACCGGTATTTGGCAGTTGCTGCCAAAAGAAACAGGCGTAGCACAGCCTCAGACCTGTCTCGTCAGCTCTCTTTAGCCACTGGTACGACAATTTCAAGGCAAACCGTGTACAGACGCTTAGGGCAAATTGGTCTATATGCCCGTAGACCTGGCAGATGCGTTCCACTTACTGCACACTCGCTGTCGCCTGAGTTTAGCAGTAGAGAGCATGCATTGTGGACACCGCAACAGTGGGCTTGTGTGATGTTTTCCGACGAGTCCAAGTTTAGCTTGCAGTCTGATTCTCGCCGGACTTTCATATGGAGAGCTCCAGGTACCCGTTACCACCAAGAAAACATCATTGAACGACACCGTTACGGTGGTGCAGGAGTGCTCGTTTGGGATGGAATTATTCTGGGTTCCAGAACTGCCCTGCATGTTCAAATTGGAACCATGACAAGCCAAATCTATCGGGCGTCATTCTGGAACCATGACATCATTCTGGAACAACATGTACGTTTCTTTCGGGTTGCCATGGGCGCACAGTTTGTGTTTATAGACGACAACGCCCGTTCTCACCGCGCAAACATCGTAAGCGAATGCCTTCAATCGGAGGATATCACCCGTATGGACTGGCGAGCATTCTCACCGGACTTGAATCCAGTAGAGTACGTGTGGGACATGCTTGGCCGACGAGTTGCAGCCCGTCAACCTCCTCCTACATGTCTACCGGAACTTCGGAGAGCATTGCTTTTTGAGTGGTGTATTATCTCCTAAGATCAGATCGAATTTGATATTCAGCATGGTAGGCGTTGTACGGACTGTATTCATCGTCTGGGAGACATAAATGCATTAACAATCAACAAGCATGTAATATTGGTTTTTTGTAAATGTTTTTTTTTTTTTTTATAGGCTTCAGGAAGAATAAAATAATGCTAATTTTTTAATAACTCAAACAACAGCATCTTTTTTTGCTCTTACGTTTTGTTTAATAAATAAGTTTACAAATAAGTCAATTTGATTTGCTTCTAACTCTTCCTTTGCCTGATTTTTGCATTATCCTTAATTGTGGACATGAGTGTATTTAAAATTAAATAAGAAGAGTCTGCATTAAATGTATGTATGTTTCCGCATTGAGATAAAACAACGGTACCTAGAGCCATCCAGTTTTGACTAACATAATCCTCCACCAAATATGAGCATCTAGAAACCCTATTTTGGAATTTGTTTTATTATCGATTTCGTATTTTGTAGTATTTTAACGAATTTTTAATTAATAATTCGTAGTACAGAAAAAACATTTTTATCTCCAGTGCGCGAGACTGTGTATCGGAAATTTTAAAGATATGCTCATTTTAAAATTATTTTGGGATATTGCTCTTGAACGGAATTTCATGGTTTAAAGTAGAAAAACATGATATTTAATAAGGTACCAACGGGAAACATTAAAAAAGTCTCTTTGGGCGTAATATAAAATTTGAAAACTTTAGATTTTTTTACTTTTGTTTCATTATTAATCATTATTTGTATTTTATTATTTATCATTCCCCCCCCCGGCAAATTATAAATGTCGAATAAAAAAAGCACAGAGCACATACACTGGTTGCAAAAATAAGGGACGAAGAAAAAAATTAGCATATCACCTGAACGAAGAGGCAGAGTGGACAGAAAGACCAATCAGGAGATTAAGTAAGGTGATGTACGGTAGCACATGCGCAGATATGCAGGTAGACGTAATGGGGGGGGAGTTGTCTGAGTAGTATAAAGCATGTTGTCGGTGTAAGATCAGTATTCTGGCAAAGAGATTGCACGCCGTATAGCAGTTAAAATCACACCGAGTTGCTGCCTCAGCGAGAAATGGCGAATAATCAATCCGTTAGACGACATCTGGATGCTTTTACCCGAGGTCGAATCATTGGGAAGTTGGAGGAAGGCCGCAGTGTGACAAGTGTGGCTGCAGAGTCGGAATTGCTCACAGCATCGTTTCACGACTTTGGAGACAATTTCAAACTACAGGAACAGCTATCCGGGGTTTAGTAGTGGTCGTCCACGAGGAACCACACCCGCAGATGACCGGTATATTGCCTTACAGGCCAGTAGAAAAAGGCGGCAGACAGCGGGAGAAATCGCTAGACACACGACACAGGCGACTGGACGAACGATATCGCGTTTTACCGTGGCCAGAAGACTGCGCAGTGGTGGTCTGTTTGCACGACGCCCTGTACGGTGTGTACCTCTAACGCCTGCCCATCGGAGAAGGCGTTCTCTGTGGTGCCGGGAACACCGGAATTTTAGAGACAATGAATGGGGACGAGTACTCTTTAACAGATGAGAGCAGATTCAGTCTGAGTAGCGATTCTCATCGCATACTCATCTGGAGAGAGCGGGAAGCCGCAATCATCCCTCGAACATCATTGAAAGGACAGGTATGGAGGTGGCGGTGTTCTCGGTTTGGGGGAGGCATCATGCTTGGTAGTCGTACAGACCTTCACATCTTCGACGCAGGTTCAGTCAACGGGACCCATTATGTGTAACGAGATTCTTCTTGCATACGTGCGTCTTTTGACATGCGCTATGGGTCCGCAGTTCCTTTTCATGGACGACAATGCACCATGTCATCGTGCAGTAGCTGCCGAACAGCTCTTAGAGAGTGAGGATATTGAACGTATGGATTGGCCGGCACGATCTCCTTATCTCAATTCCATCGAGCATGTATGAGATTTTCTTAGGCATACGCTTGGCAGCTCGTACCTTACCGCCAGTAACGATTCCGGAGCTTCGATTGGCCGCTGCAAGACGAAATGGGCAGCAATGCTCAACAACTCATTGACACTCTCATTCTCAGAAACGGGCAGACGCTGTGGAACTGCCTAGCAGTCAGGGGAGATCATATCCCCTATTAAAGACCGGATGTTTCTTGCTGGACACCCATCAAGGGATGTTTCGGCCTTCAGTCGCATGCGCTCCATGCTACTTTTTAATAAAGCTTCATTTTTCCCTCTTTCTTTTTAGTAAGTGTGCTTATATTACTCATCCTTACGTATTGGGGATCTTACGGTATTAAATGTGTTGATTTGGAAAGACTTTTGTACAAAGTTATATTGAAAACAACCGTCTCGTCCTTAATTTTTGCCACCAGTGTAGACTTTAACTTGTGAATAAAAATAAGACTATTTGAAGTACTAACTTGTGCACCATGTAACATTTTATGGAACATTATAGTGCATAACCTGTAATGCTTTTTTTTTATATATATATATATATAAATGCGTGTCTGCGTTTTTTCATTGGGATGACATCAATCCGTTCAGCCTTAGGTCGGATGTCATTTCGAGAACGACAAACTACGAGAAGTTATTCTTTATTATTTCTTTGGTTATTATTTTCAGCGTTAGCTCTGACATCAGCTTCTTGGCTAATACGATTCAAAAAGGCGAAAAGAATAAAATTT